GGGCCACTTTATAGGAGCCTCCCAGCTTCTGTCTCTAGAGGTCATCATGCCTTTCCAGATGCCTGGAGCCTGCACACATATTTCAAAGCGGCCAGGGAATCCAGAACTTCAGCCTTCAGGGCAACTTAATGCTTCTTAGTGAAGAAATCCTTGCCCTAACAGGAAGAAATGGGTCAAGGAATAGCTCTTGTTCTTTATAACCAGGTACCCAGAAATGCTAGTCCTATAGAAGGCACTGGCCTACCTGCTCTCAAATCATTATAGCCTCAGTAAGTCCTTTACAAATCTCAAATGGTACCAAGTTTCCCGTTTGAGACTTAGGAGACAGACCTGCAAATACTCAGACCATGGATTCTAGACCATCCAGTTTAACAGACATTATGTAGCTATCCTATAGCAGACATGGGGTTAGCCTCTAAAGAGTCAGAGATAACAAATCATAGCTCATGCCTAAAGAAACTTGTTCTGCCTAGCAGAAGGGACTAACCCCGAAGCAGATAATCTCACAAACAGGCTGCTGTGTGGTTCTTATTTTATCTAGCCCCTATAAGGGCTCTTTCTGCCAGAGCCTGTGAATGAGACCAGAACTGAGAAGCAGCCTAGAGGTGGAAACATATATACTATAACAACTTCCCTAGAACAAACTACCCTGTTCATTCCTATCTGAATATTTGGCCCTTTGTGGGCAGCTTCATTGAGGGTTAGATGCTTCCTCCTCACCACCTTCACCACCACTGAAGCTTGGCCTGACTTGACCTCCCTCAGCCTCGTGGTCATGGCATCCGGGCCTCCACCTTTCAGATTCGGGTGCCTAGCTGTGTATAATGGCCTTTGAGACTTGTGGGGATCTCCAACCGCAACACCAGCCTCAGGACTGGTCAAGAGGATTCAGGGATCCCTGGGTGGCTCAGCGGTTTAGCGCCTGCCTTTGGCCCAGGGCGTGATCCTGGAGTCCTAGAATCGAGTCCCACTTCTGGCTCCCTGCGTGGAGCCTGCTTCTCCCTCTGCTTGTGTCTCTGCCTCTCTTTCTGTGTCTCTCATGAATAAATAGAATCTTTTAAAAAAGAATTCAGGAAGGAAGAATTCCTAAGACCGAGTCTTTCTTTCTCTTTATCTTTTATCCAGCCTCGAAGCCGGCAGGACAGGTTTCTGCAAGTTTCCCTATTAAGCTGCTTTCCCTCAAACAGGCTGCAGAGCAGTCTGGGAGAGCGGGAAGTAGATTAAATTAATCTCAGCATGCTGAGCGTGGCAGGGGGTGAGATTGTGTTTGGCCATTCCAGAAATAGCCCAAACTCCTTTGTGCCTAAAGCAGATGAGGGGGCCTTGGCCTCCAAGATGACTGCAAACCTTTGTATATTCATAAAACACCCTCCCTCTGTCCCTGGCTTCTGTCTCTTTTGCCAACCTGTCCCAGAGTTATAATGGAGAGGGATCAGTTCTAACGTTAGGGCGAAAGGATTTATGTGTTTGTTCTGCTTAATAAGATCCTTTTTTTTTTTTAAGATTCCAAAAAGCCTTTGCGTCGGCTCTGTAGACTCTGAGCTACTGAATGTATCTGTTCACTACTGTATTTGGCACGAGGAAAGAATCTGACCTCAAGAGGTATGCCCGTGCTGCGCTGCCCCGCCTTGCAGTGCCCCAGCGCACAGGAATAGATGCTGCTCTGAGAGCTCTGAGAGAGGGGAGGGAATGGGGTAGGGGGCGGGGAGACAAGTGAGGATGGAGAGATCCCATAAAAGGAGACAAGATATCAGAAGCAGTTTGGTGATGAATCTCCATGAAAAGCTGGAGGTGGGAGTGATCCCAGAATCCAAAAAGAGTAGATTAATTCCACAGAGGTATTAAAAACGAAAACAAGGGAGTCACACTTATTTCCTTCCTCCTGTGCTAAGTCAGGAACTGGACTGCGTTGAAAAGAATCAAAACAAAAACCTCACCAACCTAGTCTCTTCCATCAATGCACTTGGTTTTTATGTTAGTGTTGACTGGCTCTCTGACTTGGAAAGGTGTAAACAGAACGCAAAGGATGATGATGAACTCTCAGCCTTTCGTGTAAAGAACAGTTGAAGCCACAGAGGGAGTTTGGCCAAGAGGAGAGAAGACACACTGTGGTCATGAGTGAAGTGCTTCTTGAAACTGAGGAGCATTTCTTGAGCACTTCCTAGTGCACTAGTATGGCTCTGCTGCTGATTACTCCCCTGGCCCTCCTAGCCACCTGACATGGGAGGGTAGATATTGTAATTGTCCTTATTTTATGGCTGATGAAACTGAGGCTGAGAGAGAGGGGTCAAGGACTTGCCCCTAATTCACTTGAGTGATAAAGACCTGACTCTAAGCCCATGATATGAGCCCGTGTTTTTGCCCTTCTTTCAAATATTGATTACCCTTGTTCTGCATGGTCTTAAGGAACAGATGGATCTCCAGGGTGGGTAGGCAGAAATTAACAGAATATTTTTGGCTCCATAGTAAGGAAGAACTTTTTAAATGAACTGTCCACAATAAGAACAAACTACACTGGAATTTGTTACCAGCAGAGATAGTAAGTTCCTTTGTCATTGGAGGTATTCAAACAAATGCCCAGGGTGGGAGTATTGTAGAGAAGGTTCAAGCATTGCATTGGTAAGGGGTTGAACCAACCTTTCTAATCGTGCGATTCTATAATCTGTAATCATTAGAGAAATTGGGATATTTACTAGAAGGAAATAGGCACCATCTAAAAATAAGATGTTAACTTATATCTTTGGTTTTATATTTTAACATTTATCATTTTAAGAAAAATATATTTTTTACACATTTAAAATATTAAAAGAAAACTATGTAAATGCAGGCTTAAATGTTTAAAATTTCAGAGCAGAGAAATTTAATTTGATTGATTCAATTTGATTAACTCAGTCCTGCTAGTTATTCATGGACAATTGAGGAAAGATTTGTTGTTATTGTTGCCAAACACCTTTATAGTTTAGAAAGACTAATTCTAAAGGGGAATGTTTCCATCTCTACAGTAAAGTCAGAGCTGTCAAAAAATTTTTTTCAAGTGACTATGAACACTTAAGGGAATTTTTCTAACTTGCCAGTGTGACTGTCTCAAACAAAAATTAATTTGAAACAGTCTCATCATTTCATGTTTCTTGGATGATTCTCGCTCAGCTCTGAAATTTATTATTGAATTACAGAAGTCTGAGGAGTGATGCCACGGGTCATAGCACATTCTTTTTCATCAAATAAGATTTATTCTAGTTTATCGAGCATTAGGACTGCAAGTAAGAAAATAAACCAGTTACAAACCTTTTCTAGAATGAGTTTGTTGTTATTTCTCCATGCTCCATATCTGACACTGGATTCCTGTTCCTTGGTGGGATTTGCAATCTTTAGCAGGAAGTTAGAGCATCGACATATAAAGTCTTGTGCAAAAATCACTTAACTAATGTACTGAAATCATTTTTCAAGTATGTAACACATACACAGGGTTATGCTTAATGTTAATAGGCTTGTTGCAATAAAGAAATGGCTTTTTCTTTCTCTTTTTTCTTTTTTAGGAAGTTCCAGGTTACAGGCAACCTCAGCTCACACAGTTGGTGGTGGTAGAGAATGGTCCTGGTTAGGGGTGGGGAGGTGGTGGCAAAAGTGAGGTAAAGAAATGTTGCCCCTGGGGATCCCTGGGTGGCACAGCGGTTTAGCGCCTACCTTTGGCCCAGGGCGCGATCCTGGAGACCCGGGATCGAATCCCACGTCGAGCTCCCGGTGCGTGGAGCCTGCTTCTCCCTCTGCCTGTGTCTCTGCCTCTCTCTCTCTCTCTCACTGTGTGCCTATCATAAATAAATAAAAAAATAAAATAAATTAAAAAAAAAAAAGAAATGTTGCCCCTTGAAAGCATGGGGCAGCTCAGAGAGGGGCTGGCCAAGTGGAGAAGAGGAAGTTCCCTGTGGTGTATTCTGGAGAGGCACCTTGTAGCACACTTTTTTTTTTTTTTTTAAGATTTTGTTTATTTATTTGAGAGAGAGTGGGAGTGCACATGAGTAGGGGGAGGAGCAGAGGGAGAGGGAAAATCTCAAGCAGACTCCCTGCTGAGCATGGAGCCCAACACAGGGTTTAATCTCACAACCCCAAGATCATGACCTGAGCTAAAATCAAGAGTTGGGCACTCAACCAACTGAGCCACTCATGTCCTTCAGAGGGTGGCCAGGGGATTTCTTCGGAGGAAGACCAGTAGGCCCATGAGGAAGGAGACTTCAGAAAGGGTTGTCCACAGAGGGAAGGACACTGTGGTTGGGTGAGGACCAGACCATATGTGGAGCTGAGAACAGGGCAAGGAGGGCTTGATCAAGAGCACGGGCCAGCAGAAGCAGCATAGAGTCCCATAGCCTCAGCGACCTTCTTGGGGGAGAAATTGAATGCGTGTATATCTCAGCACATGACCTCAGACAACCAGCCTCTGGATCACACTGTGTTCACTTGGGGCCCAGTCCTCTTGTTCCCTTTGCGTTCATCTCAGGGGGTCAGTAATTTGACATTTCACAGGATGCTTAAAGTGGAATCCTTTCCCATGGATCATCAGAGAAGATGTAACCTCTCTCCCCATCATACCTCCAAACCCCATACCTACTACAGCTTTTCCTCCTGGTTGTGGAGGTCACCTTGTAGATACGTCTTCTCCCTGGAACTAAAGATGACCTTGTTTGTCCAAATCAATATTGAGTGCGGTCTTACCTCCTCAAAGAAAATTGTTATTTAATTAACTTGGTCGTACAGTTGGGCAATTAAATTCTGCTTAGCTGATGAACTACCTCATTTCAGACTGATGACAATCACACTTGATGGCATGTCCACTGACTCGACTACTTTTTAAATAGGTCATTGAGGGAGGGGACTGACTCCTTGGTTTGCGTTGTCATCTGGCTCCATGGAAGAAGCCAGGCACATGCTGAGTCCCTGCTCTCAATGCTGGTCTGGACCTGGTTCTGACCTTCCCTGCTTGTGTCTTCCTACTCTCCCTTGTACAGAGACAGGGCAGGGCATTGTTCATGCACTGACCGACCTCAGCAGCCCCGGCATGACCTCAGGGAACGGAAACTCTGCCTCCAGCATCACCGGCACTGCCCCCCAGAATGGTGAGAATAAACCACCACAGGCCATTGTGAAACCCCAAATCCTGACGCATGTTATCGAAGGGTTTGTGATCCAGGAGGGGGCGGAGCCTTTCCCGGTACGGACTACTTCTTTTCCCCTCTTTTGTTTTTGTTTTTGTTTTTTGAAGTATATTTTGGATGTGTATTAGAATATTTTTACATTTCCATGTAAAATTTCCAAAAATGTAAACAGTTTGCTCTTTCCTTGCTGATTTCCCCCCAAAAAAGAATGTCAGGAACCATTTTCTTTCTAGGATTGAGTGTCTTCCTAGGGTCCAGAAGGGATCGGTGATTAGGAATAATTGGCAGGGCCCCTTGGTTAGAAGTGGCCACACACAGACTCAGCTGTGTCCCTGCTTGGTGTTGTGTGACCTCCCCCCCTTAGTTAGAAGGGAGTTCACATTGGGGTGTTTTGGGACAAGAAGATGGGTTTGGGGAAATGAGACCTCATTTAGTTTTGAATGCCAGGACCTCTGAATGGCAGAATTTTGTGAGAGAACAAAAGCAAAGTGCGTAGAACAGAATTTTCAAGATGTGTCTTGAAATGAAGATCAGAGAACAGGGTTGTAGCCTGAGCTGCTTTTCTGGGGTCAGAGCCTTGAAAAGAGTGAATGAGAGTGAGGGTACTTTAGAAAGGATGCAATCAGATGTCTCCGGTGAAAGCATAAGACCAAAGGGAAATATAAAAGAATCAAGAAAATGCCATATTCAAACAAAGCAACCAGAGCTGACTGTGCAGTGTGAGTTGGTGAGGACAGGTGGCACTGCTCCGTAGATGGGAGGAGCCCAGGGACAGGTAAACACCGGCCTCTCCGGTGATGAAATTATCTGGCTGTTAAAGAATCCCATCTCCATGGGATGCCATCTGCCTTTTGCTCATTCTTTGAGCCCATGAGTGGTTTCAGTAGTCAGTGGAAGACTCTAAGCTTGATTAACTGAGCTGGATGAACTGCCCTCCTAAAATGTCAGAAGACAAATAGGCTCTTGTTCACTTTCCCTCCGAAGGTTGCTCAAGGCCCCTGGTAGAGAAATCCACCCGGAGCACCTTAGCTATAAGCTCCAACCATGTCACATCCCCTCCCTCATTAGACCAGGTCTTCGACTTGGCCTTATAGAGAAACCCCAGAAACCAACTGATCTCACAGGGTGGATACAGATTGAATAACACTCCAGTACCACCTAGGGATCTAACTGCCAGGCTGCCTGAACAGAGGCAACAAACGAAGGACCAACAGAGTGAATAAGCCAGTCTAGGATCCTGGCCACCACGGTGGGCATTTACCCTGTGGCCCAGAGTCTGTCCCTTCCTGCGCTCCTGCACGGCTGCCTGCACCTCTGGCTCAAGTAGAACAGTGAGAAGGTGGAGGACAGTAGGAAACCAGAAATGATTGCAGAGTGTGCCCTGTCCTACACACACTCACACCCATGGCCCCAGCTGTATGCCTGCCCCGTGACATGTGAGCACTGGGTCCTGGCAGTTGTTCTGGTGGTACAGGATACTTGATTTCTGCCTCTGTCTCTGCTCCTTAGTCACTTGGAAGAATAGGTATTTTCCTAACCTCTGAAGCTGTCCTGGGCTGAAGCCATTGCTGCACTTTGGTGACAATTGGCATCTTGCCTCATGAGCTACACAGCAAAATAGGGCCTTGAGCAAGGCACACTGGGATGATGATGTAGAGGCTGGCATCTGTGCCTCAATGCATTATATATGTAATTTTGATGAGGCTGGATAGCAACCTAACCCTCATGACTTCCATTGTTACCATGTCCTCTAGGTGGGACGCTCGTCCCTGCTGGTGGGGAATCTTAAGAAGAAATATGCACAAGGGTTCTTGCCTGAGAAACTTCCACAGCAGGATCATACCACCACCACTGACTCTGAGATGGAGGAGCCCTATCTGCAAGGTAGGCATCTCACCCTGAACGCTAGGGCCTTCTGATTTGGCTGAACTGACCAGGAAAGAGACAAGGCTGCAAAGGCCGGCCCTACATACTTCCTCTCTCACTATCCATGGAGCAACGCTGACCAGGGAGTATGTAACTTCCCTGTCCCTAGAAAACAAGGAAGGGGGAATGCCCCTGCCCTTGAGGAACTGTTGCCTGCCTCTCCTCCAGCCCCACTCCAGCCAGCCAGAGGGTCCCAAGAGTTGCTTTTCCTGTGGGAGTCCTTGGCAAGAGGTAGCAGTGGTGCAGGCAAGGGGGCCCTTCCCTCACCACCTGAGCTGCACTCAGCCCCCGGGGCCCGGCTTTCAGGCACCTCCGTGGCCAGGCCAGGGCTGCACTTACAGCATGAGCCACTCACTCAGTGGGCCCTATGGAGGTTACAGAACTCCTGAGTTCTGTGATCCAGGTCAGCAGTGAACTAGTACATCACCATAGGGTAGGATAGTTCCAGATCAGTTGTGACAGTACCCAGAGTAGTCCTAGTCTCTAGCCAGGGTCATAAGGAGGGGTGCTGATTCTTTACCACCTGTGTTTGCCTCAGGCTCAGCGCTTAGGAAAGAAACCTGTCAGGTATCCAGGGGCCATCACCAAACACCACTGGGTACTTTCCAAGGTGGGAGAAGCAGCTCTTCCCAAACCAGTGGCGAAAGCAGCTGGGCACTTTCCAAGCTAGACCACCACTGCGTGTCACAGCTTATTGGGACAGGAGGAAGAGGCAGGGCAGAGAAGGAAGGCTTTGTGGGGGGCTGTCCGGGGTCTTGTGGGAATTGGTCCTCTAAACACTCATTCTAATTTCCATACCTTCCAGAATCCAAAGAGGAGGGTATTCCCCTCAAACTCAAGTGTGAGCTCTGTGGCCGGTTGGACTTTGCCTACAAATTCAAGCGTTCTAAGCGTTTCTGTTCCATGGCATGTGCAAAGAGGTGAGTGACCTCGGCCCCGCTGTCGTGCCAGCCCCTCCTCCTCCTCAGGATTGCACCTCGTGTCCTCCCCTCTTCAATGATAGTCCATCCCGGGCACCCTAGGTGGAGCTCAGCTGCCTTCTGGTTTCCTCTACCTCCCTGGAAGCAACCTCCTGTCACTAATCCACCAGGTACTAGAACCCAAAACTCAAGTGAGCAGCTCTGAGTCCAAGGAAAGGAAGCAATGTTTTAGCTTGACTGTCCCTCCTGGGCCCCATTGAACCCTTGGCAGCTGTCCCCTTGGGGTAAGCCCTCCACCAGAAGCTTCACCTGGAGCCCCTGCCCTAGTTAACAGATATTCTCTGTGAGCTCTCACACAGCATAGGCCAGGGACAGTGTTGTGTACTGAGAGCCTGTCATGGGCCAGGCACTGCACTAGACAGTCGGTATGCCCTGTGTCACCTAATATTCAGAGTAACCATGAGGCAGGGAAGTCTGCTGTCCCCTTCATACACGCTAGCAGACTAAGGCACCAAGGATAAGTAACTGCACAGTGTCATGGAGTTGAGAGTCAAACTCCTCTGACTCTAAAGCCCTACATGGGCTTCGTACTAAGGTGGGAGAGGCACTGACCCTGAAGCCCTGAGCCCTCAGAAGAATAGAAATCCCTAGAGCCCTGCCCACTGGAATAAGGCTCTCCTCAGATCCGTACCAGAGGTCATCAGGGTGCCTTTGTGAAGCTTTGCCAAGCTACAGGCAGACCTCGTTTTACTGTGCTTCGCAGATACTGCCTTTTTTTTAAAACAAATTGAAGGTGTGTGACAGCCCTGTGTCAGACAAGGCTGCCGGCATCATTTTTCCAACAGAGTTTGCTCATTTTGTGTCTCTGTGTCATATTTTGGTAATTCTCACAATATTTCAGACTTTTTCATTATTATGGTGATCTGTGGTCTTTGATATTTACTGTAGTGATTGTTTGGGGGTGCCACGAACTGTACCCACATAAGATGGTAAACTTAATCAGTAAATGTCTTCTGTGTCCTCCTGCTCCACCAACTGACTGCTCCCCTGTCTGTCTCTCTCTCCTTGGGCCTCCCTATTCCTGAAGACATGACAATGTTGAAATTAGGCCCATTAATAACCCTACAGTGACCTCTGAGTATTCAAGTGAAAGAAGTGTGGTGCACCTCTCACTTGAAATGAAAAGCTAGAAATGATTAGGCTTCGTGAGAAGCACTCATTGAAAGCTGAGACAGCCTGAAAGCTAGGTCTCTTGCACCAAACGGCCAAGTTGTGAATTCAAAGGGAAAGTTCTTGAAGGAAATTAAAAGTACTACTCCAGTGAGCACATGAATGATACAAAAGCAAAACCTTTGCCCTGTTGCCCATATGGAGAAAGTGTGAGTGGTCTGGATAGAAGATCAAACCTGCCACAACATTCCCTGAAGCCGAAGCCCAATCCAGAGTAAGGCCTAATTGTCTTCAATTCTGTCAAGGCTGAGAGAGGCGAGGAAACTGCAGGAGAAAAGTCAGGCAGCCCGGGTGGCTCAGTGGTTTAGCACCACCTTCAGCCCAGGGTGTGATCCTGGAGACCTGGGACCTGGGATCGAGTCCTACATCAGGCTCCCTGCAGGGAGCTTCTTCCTCTGCCTATGTCTTTGCCTCTCTCTCTCTCTCTCTCTCTCTCTCTCTCTCTCTCTCTCTCTCTCTCATGAATAAATAAATAATCTTAAAAAAAAAGAAGAAGAAGAAGAAGAAAAGTCCATGAGATTTAAGGAAAGAAGCCACCTCCGTAGCATAAAAGTGCATAGTGAAGCAGCAAGTGCTGATGTAGAAGCCAACACAGCAGGTTATCCAGAATATCTAACTCAGATTGTTGGTGAAGATGGCTATGTTAAGCAATAGATTTTCAGTGCAGACGAAACCGCCTTCTACTGGAAGAAGACTTTTTGATAGCTAGAGAGAAGTCAGTGCCTGGCTTCAAAACAGGCTGACTCTCTTGTTAGGGGCTAATGCAGCTGGTGAGTTTCGGTTGAAGCTAGTGTTCACCTACCATTCTGAAGGTCTTAAGAATTGTGCTTAAGAATTGTGCTAAGTCTATGCTGCCTGTGCCCTACTGATGGAACAACAAAGCCTGCATGATAGCACATATGTTTATAATATGGTTTAGTAAATATTTTAAGTCTAGTGTTGAGACCTACTGCTCAGGAACAGAAGATTTCTTTCCAAATATTACTGCTCACTGACCGTGTACCTGGTTACCCATGAGCTCTGATGGAGATGTGCAATGAGATTCACTTTGTTTTCATGCCTGCTAGCACATCATCCATAATGCATGCGGCCCATGGATCAAGGAGTAATTTCGACTTTTCAAATCTTTTTTTAAAAAATGTATTTTGTAAGGCTCTAGTTGCCATAGATACAGATTCCACTTGGATCTGGGCAAAGTCAATTAAAAATCTTATAGAAAGGATTCACCATTCTAGATGCCGTTAGGAAGTCATTCAGGATTCAAGGGAAGTGCTTAAAATATCAACATTAATAGGGATTTGGAAGAAGTTGATTCCCACCTCCTAGGTGACTGTGATGGGTTCAATACTCCAGTGGCGGAAGTAGCTGTAGGTGTTGTGGAAATAGCCAGAGAACTAGAATTAGAGGTGGAGCCTAAAGATGTGATTAAATTGCTGTAATGTCTCTTTTTTTAAAAGATTTTATTTATTTATTTATTTATTTATTTATTTATTTATTTATTTATTTGAGAGAAAACAAGTGCTAGGAGAGAGAGAGCACACAAGAAGGGGGGGTAGGGGAGAGGGGAAAGCAGACTCCCCACTGAACAGGAAGCCTGATGTGGGGCTCTATCCCAGGACCCCAGGGTCAGGACCTGAGCCAAAGGCAGATTCTTCACCTACCAAGCCACCCACTCGTCCCTGCATTGCTGCAGTCTCATGATAAAAACTTCAGTGAATGAGGAATTACTTCTTAGGAATGAGCAAAAGTGTGATTTCTTAAGGAAGAGTCTCCTGCTGGTGAAGATGTTGTGAAGATTGTTGAAATGACAACCAAGTATTTGTAATATCAAATAAACTCCGTTGATAAAGTGGCAGGGTTTGAGAGGATTGACTCGTTTTGAAAGCAATTCTATGGGTGTAAGATGCTGTCAGACAGCATTGTACGCTACAGAGAAATCATTCGTGAAAGGAAGAGTCCATTGATGTGGCAAATTTTTCACCATTTTCTATTTTTTTCTTAAATTTTTTTTAAAGATTGATTTATTGGGCAGAGCATGGGTGCATGTGCACACAAGCAAGTGGAGGGCCAAGGAGAGAAGCAGACTCCCTGCGGAGTGTGGAACCTCGATCCCATGACCTAGAGATCATGACTTCAGCTGAATTGAGAGTCAGGTGCTTAACCCACTGAGCCACCCAGGCGCCCCTATCATCGTGTAATAAACTTCAGTGTAGTGTAAACAATTACTACTTTTATATGCCCGGGAAATTAAAAAAACTGACTACTTTATTGCCTGTCAGATGTGGAACAGAGCCTGCAGTATCTCTGAGGCGCACCTGCACTTTCCAGCAGGACAGTAGACCGTTATTTCCTGGCACAGGTAATATTTAGCGTACGATATGTCAGCCATGAGTTCTTACAGTGATCCAAGTTGTGTCCAGCGCTTTACACACATTAGCTCATATAATTAATCAGACCAGGTTTAGAAAGTGAGTCGTCCCATCCATAGCTCCAGATGAGGAAACTGAGGCTCAGCAGTCCAGTGACTTGCACTAAGTCAGCCAGCCAGTAGGAAGTGATAAACTCAGCATCGGAGCAGATGGATGGACTCCCGTATTGCTGGAGCGCCTGGCTGCAATCAGGCTACCAGGGGCCCACATGCCCCATGATGGCTCTGACTCCCCTGTTCCTCTGACTCGCAGGTACAACGTGGGATGCACCAAACGAGTGGGGCTTTTCTACCCAGATGAGAGCAAGCTGCAGACGGCAGGAGTCCCAACCCACAACCGCCGTCGGGCCAGCAAAGCCAGTCTGCCCACACTTACAAAGGATACTAAGAAGCAGGTGAGAGGCTAGCCGAGCCCAAAGCTACATTAGTCCCACGTCCTCACCAACTTCCCTTCCTAACAGACCCAGGATGCCCACATTCCTTTTCCAGTGCTGACTTAAGTATATTCCGTCATGTTCTCATTTCTCACAAATCGTCACATCAAGCCCTTCCCAGGTCCTATAATGTGCCCCAGCATTTATACCCACATGCTTGTGAGGTGATTTCCTGTGTCAGTGACCTTGCCCTTCTCCAGCTCTCCCCTTCCAGCTTGCCTCCATCCTTCTGGGGCCATGGAAATGGGGTCTCCTCTGCCTGGCCTGGTGAAGAGACAGACTGTCCCTGTTATCTTATACCTTACATGGAGGGCCAGGTATGGAGGCAGCCTGCAGCCTTTCCCTACCTGCACTTTGTGGCCTCCTCGAATCCAAAGCACTGAGTTCTTGAAACCTCTACCAGGAACACAGGTGTTTGTTCAGTGCAGATTTTGTAGCCCCACTTGCGTGCCAGGCATACCATCTGGCAGTGAGGCTGAGTTGCCCTGCAGGAACCCACAGCTTCATGGAACCTTTCATAGCCTCATGGTTTCGCTGTTCGTCATCATTTGGGTCAGAAACCTCTGTAATCTGACGAAGGCTGTGACTGATCATGCACACGCACAGGAAATTTTAAGACTCTTTCACAGATCACCCCTGAACTCTCTAGAGCCCTGGCTTCAAACCCCACCTCTAGAAGAAACAGTAGGCATAGATAGAATCAGATTGGTGCGGTGCGCTGCCAGCAGGAGTACTGGGAGGGACCCTACTCTGCATCAGGTCAGAGAGGGGACAACCCAGAAGATGCTTTTTGATCTAAGCACTCAAAGGTATGTAGTCACAGACCAAGTAGGAGGGGGATACTGCCTGCCTTCGCCCATCACTCTGCTGGAGACCTAGAGTCGGTTTATCACCCCATCCTGAAGCCAGCTGTTTCTCTCTGCTCCCAGCCAACAGGCATTATGCCGCTTTCAGTTACGGCTGCATTGCAGCTGACACACAGCCAGGAGGACTCCAGCCGTTGCTCGGATAACTCAAGCTATGAGGAGCCCTTGTCACCCATCTCGGCCAGCTCATCCACCTCCCGCCGGCGACAAGGCCAGCGGGACCTGGAGTTCCCTGACATGCACATGCGGGACCTGGTGGGCATGGGGCACCACTTCCTGCCAAGTGAGCCCACCAAATGGAATGTGGAAGACGTCTACGAATTCATCCGCTCCCTGCCAGGTAAGGTCCCTGCAAGTCCCATGCCTAACTGGAATAGTGACCCATGAGAGAGGGGGAGGGACCTTCCCTCCCACTTCTGGGAAATGACTCAGTCAGTGACTCAGGTTCAAAAATAGGAGTGCAGAGGTGAATCAGAACACAACCGTAAATGGTACCCTACAGCCATCATTAGGTGCATTTCCTGGCGTGGCAAGTGGTCTGTGTGAGAGGCAGAGGGGACAGCGCATCAAGGCCGTGTCTCCTCTGGGCCAGGGTACAAGAAGAGTCAAGTGGGAGTGTAGGGAACCTGTCCAGGAGAACATCAGCATAGGAAGAGGTAAGCCAAATGACAGTGGGCAGGCAGGCCTTGGCTGGTTGGAGAGGCGACAGCAGGGAGCAGCTTGAGCAGAGGCACTGAGATGTGGAAGTGTATGATGTAGCTGGGAAACCTCACAGAAGCCTGCTAGGGGAGTGTACGTGGCTTTGAGGGCTAGAATTTAGGAGTGAGCCTTGAAAGACAGACCTCATGTTACTCACAGGTACTTTCAGTGGGATCCCAAAGCATCTCTACTGTTGTTTCTGCCAGTGTCACCCAGCTACTGGCCACATCAGGTATGGATGGCAGCCACAGTCCTGTTGCTCAGAGACGAGTAGGAGTAGCGGTGGAGAGCACAGACTTGTCTGTCAGAACTGGGCTCACGTCCTGGCTCTGCGCCTTTAGTTCAGTGTGTTAGTCATCTATTGCCACATTCCCAGAATTTGCCACCACACAGTACAGTAGCTCAGGAATCTGGGAGTGGCTTGACCAGACATTTTTGCCACAGGGTCTTTATGAGGTTGTCATTAAGATGTGGACCAAGGCTTCCATGAGCCTGTAGGATCTGTTCTAAGGTGCCCCGCTTCCCTCGTCTCCAGGAGGGTATGGCTGCCCACAGAAGGCCTCCGTTCCTCCAAACGGGCCCCTTCAGGACATCATGCTTGCGTGTTCTTAGGACAAGGCCACCACTTCTCCCCACAGGTAGTGATCCAGAAGAGTATGGTGGAAGCCCCCATGCCCCTTTTGATCTAGACTCAGAAACCATTGTGGCGTCACCTTCACAATATCACACAGGTCATGCCCACAGGTGCGTGAAAGGAAAGCCAGGTTTTTTGTTTTTTTTGTTTTTTGTTTTTTTTTTTTTTTTTTTTTTTGGAAAGCCAGGTTTATTTGGATCTGTTTGAGGGCTGGTTACCATAGTTCACCAGTCACTGGTCCCCACAATTCATGCTCCCCCCTCAAGCAGACCACCCTCACCCCCTTCTGTAGACCCCACAGATCTCATCCTATTGCAGCAGTAGTTCCAAACTCAGCGTCTCATCAGCAAACTCCAGTCAAGCCCAGTTCCTCTTGTTCTGAACACCTGAGAATTAGAGACACATTATCCACTTCCTTCCACAAGCCCAAGATGGGGTGGATAGGTATAGGATCACCACTGTAGGCATGCCTGCACAGAAAAGGGAAGACATTGTTGGGGAGTGGGAGGGATACAGGAGTCACCGATGGCACCAATCCTGGAATCTAGCAGGGTGTGTGTTGGAATTTCTCTGATTAGGACTCAAAGCCTGGGAGTGATTTTCTTTCTTGCTTCCACCCTCAGAGTCATCCTTCCTTTCCCATGAAAGGTAGCCTGAGCTTTCAGTGGACTAGTTTTCTTGGCCTGTATCCTGCTGCTGTTCATTTCTATAACCCCAGACCCTTTCACTTCAAGCAGTGTTTATGCCAGTATAATTGTCTTAAAATGTTTGTGGGCTTCCAATGCATCTTGTTAGGGTTCACTCCATTAGACAACAAACAAACTCAAAAGGCTCTAAGATAAGTCGTTCTCTGTGTTGGCATCTTCTGAAGCTGAGGGACAGTCCCCTTTAATATGTAAGATGCTCTGCTGGTGGATGGCGAGGATCGGTGAGGCACCCCCGTAAAATCCTTACAGTTCTCTGAGGCAGCACCTTCAAGCTTCTGAAGTCTTGGTGAAAGATGTGTCATGCTCTCAGTTCCACCTCTAGACCGTGTTTTCTCACCTGTGTCCTGGATTTGATCTTCGCCTAGAAACTGCTTCTTAGTTTTGGCATCATTTGCTATCTGGGAGGCCAGCGATTTTCAAACAAGCAAATCCTGGCTCCTTGATGTCTAACAGTTTGGCCTTTCCCTCGTCGGTCCTCATTGTCCTGTGAGCGGTGGTCAGAAGCCCAGCAGCACTTACAGTGTTCTGCTGGAAATGTCCTCCCCTAGATGGCTCCGTGAGATGCAATACACTTACCGGGTTTCACCCCCAGCAGGGCCGCAACATTTTTTCCGTTTCTCAACAAGGATCCGTTTCTCCCAGTTTCCAGAAACAGTTTCCTTTCCTTGAAGACTCCCCCAGTCTCCTCACAGACCATCAGCCTTCTGTCCAGCCCGTGACACATCACTGACACTTCTCAGAGTCCTTCTGGCTCCCGTCTGCCACTCCCCTAGCCACAGCCGCACTCCCCTTCCAGAAACCAGAATCTGCATTCGTTACTCTGGAGCGTCATGGCTTTTTACCCCGGGTTCTGTGGGGTCAGGAACGCAGCTTAGCTGCGCAGCGCTGGCTTGGGGGATCATACGGGGTCTTGGTCAAGGTGGCAGCCAGAACTGCGGTTGTCCAAAGGTTTGATGCCAGAGGACCTGGTTCCCAGGTGCCCTGCTTACATGGCTCAGGGGTGGAGTGTGGCTGTGGTCAAGTGGCCTCGGTTCCTCTCCATGTGGGCCTCCTCTGAGTGTTGCTTGCATGTCCTCATGACATAGTCACTGATTTCTCCCAAGTAAACACTCTGGAAGAGCAAGATGGCAACTGCTGTGCCCTTTGCTACCCAGCATTGGGAATCACATTCTGTCACTCCTGTAGCACCTTGTGGCTCTGCTGGGTCAGCCCCGTTCATCGGGGTGGTGGGGTGGGGTGACCAGGACATATATGAATGAGGTGTGGAGCACTTGGACGAGTCACGTAGCCTTTCTCCGGCTGTCAGATGAGAACAGAGTTGCCTTCCTCGAGGTGTGCCAGGCACACCGGTCAGCACCGGTACCCTCACTGATCCTGTCTGTGGTGGTGTCCCCCTCAGGCTGCCAGGAGATAGCAGAGGAGTTCCGTGCCCAGGAGATCGACGGGCAAGCCCTGCTGCTGCTCAAGGAGGACCATCTGATGAGTGCTATGAACATCAAGCTGGGGCCTGCCCTGAAGATCTACGCCCGCATCAGCATGCTCAAGGACTCCTAGGGCTGGCCAGCGCAGCTGGGGCTCTGGCCCGGGGCTCCTCCTCCCAACTGAGCAGAGCCAGACAGACATTCCTGAGGGGCCCAGAAGTGGGGCCAGTCAGAGGGAAGGGCTCTCCCTATGGGGCGTGGCTGGTGAGGAGGTCTTGGCACCCCCTCCATGGCTCTCAGGGGCCTTTCTTTCTGTGGGAGGGGCAGAGAGGTAGGTGGCGCAGAAGATGGGGCTTTATGCTTGTAAATATTGATAGCACTGGCTTCCTCCAAAGTCCCAATACTCAGCCCCGCTCTCTTCCCCTCTTTCTGTCCCCCATTTTCCAGGGGGTATACGGTCAGGGCTCCCCAACCTGGGTTGGGCTATTTTCAAGGGCAGCCGTCAGGCCAGATAGAGGCCTTGCAAGCCCGTGCCTGCCTTCCTCCCACTCCTTTCTCTGGGCTTGGCTAACTCTTCCGTTGCCGGCTTCTCCCCCTTCAGCCCGTTTCTGAAGCAGCCAGGGGTTCTCCCCCTTCACCCTCCGCAGGTGGAGAGAGAGAAGCTGGGCCTGGTTTGGCCACGCCTGCTGGCACAGACGCCTTAACGCTGTGTGTGTGACTGGATGACTGTGTAGGAGCCTGGACTGGCAGATGGGCCCAGAGCCACCCTCTGGCATCTCCAGGTGTTCTGTAGCAAACAGCCACTTAGTGCTTTGTCCTGGACTCCGCTCGGCCTCAGAATGGGGAATAGAAAAGAAGGGCAGCCTCCACGCAGAGAGGCAAGATCAGAAAGCGGCGAAGATCAGGAGGTTTTCCTTTCCAGAGTGGGCACGCTATCTCCGAAGCCCTTCCCACACTGTGAAGCCCCCAACTGCCCTGTTGGGCCACAAACAGCATTAAGGGAGCCACTGGAGGCCGGGCCAGGCCTCCTGGCCTGCCCACCCACCTGCCGTGGGGGCCCAGAGAACGTCCGAAGGCAGAGAAGAGCCCCCAGGGTGATGTGGCCGTGAAGAAGGCAGACTTGGGCCTCCTGCCTCCACGCTTCTTTGCCTCTCGAACTTGCTAGCAATTTGAACTACCTGCGGAGGAGGTAGGGCAGGAAGGGCGAGGGCCTGCCTCTGACTTGCCCTGTCCTTGGAGGCTCTGGGGGAAGAGCGGGGCTCTCCCTGGGAAGAGGGTGGGCTCCTTTCTCAGCTTGTTCTATTCCCCACTCACACCCCCAGGCAGGGTTGGAAATGAAGGACTTTTTTAACCTTTTGTTTTTGTTTTTTAAAAATAAATCTGTAAAATCTGTTTCTTCTGTGCCTTTCTCGATTGGCTACTTCTCGTCCCGAAGGAGAGGGATGGTTGTTTGGAGGAGGGACAACCTCCCTAACCGGACAGCAGGCCCTCCACCCTTTGCCGGGGCCAGGTCCTCTGAGGGCACCCTTATTGACACGGCCTCATTTTCACAGGTGCCCCTTGGAATGGGAGAGCCCAGACCTGATGCTGTTGGGCCAGGAATATCTGGAACACCTAGGGCAGAGCCCAGACTCTTCCATCCGCGAGCACACCCCTTCAGTTGGTGCTCAGTGGCTCCGCAGCAGGGATAAGCCCTTGGGATGACTTGGGTTCACTCCGCGCACTCTGAGCATTTTTCAGATGCTGGAGTAACTATCAGAGTCACTGTCCTCCATGAGGTGACGCAGTGACACCTAAACCTTAAATAAAGAGGAAAGGGGGAAGCGCCTGGGTGGCTCAGTCAGTTGGATGTCTGCCTTTGGCTCAGGTCACGTTCTTGGGGTCATCTTGGGGTTGAGCCCTGTGTCTGGCTCCCCACTCAGCAGGGGTCTGCTTCTCTGTCCTGCCCCTCCCCCACTCATGCACTCCCTCCCTCAAACAAATGAAATCTTTAAAAAAAAAAAAAAAAGGAACGGGCGTTCCAGGTAGAGGCGGAGGAGGTGCAGATGTCGAGGCACGAGCTTGGCTGGGGCGGCCCAGGTGTGCGTGGCCAACAGCAGCTTGCGCCACCCGGTGCCTCTCTGAGCCAGGCCCACTGGTGAGCAAAGCGGCCTCCCCGGCTTGCACGGAGCCCCGGATGGGAGGAGGGAGCCACCTGGCCTCCCGGGCCTTGCCTCCTCTGGTGTTTTCCTGGAGGCCTTGTTTCTGCCTGTTTAAAATGTGGGTTGGAGGCCTGGGGCCCAGCTCTGAATAGTCTCCAAGGGCGGGCCCAGGAAGACTGGGCTGAGTAGCTGAGGACTTTGATAACTAACACCTCTCCGGAGAGCCTGTTAACGTTTAACCAACACCTGGAGGGAGAGGAGAAGGTGACTGAGGATCCTGACGCCCCGCCCCGAGGGCAGAGCCAGTCCTGTGCCCGAGGTGGCCGGGGGCGCCCCAGCTGGCGGAGGAACGCAGGCCTGGGGTCCTGGCGGGCAGGGCAAGTCCCTACGCCCCGGACCCCTCCTCCCTTCGGGGGAGAGTAAGAGCCAGGCCTCTCCTGGCCGTGTTCCTCCACGTGCGGTGAGGGAGGAGGGCGCCCAGACTCCTCCTGAGTGAGGATGTGCTGAGGTCGCGGGCCGGGCGACGCAGGCAAGTAGCGGTGCCATTTCTCTTCTTGGTGCCAGGGCGCTGCTCTAGTCCCGGTGGGTCCCCCTGCTTGTGAGAGCTCACGTTAGGCCACCTTGACAACAGATCTACATTAGAACCTGGTTTCACTGACCAAAACAATCTCTGAGAGGGTCTTTGCTTTTCTGGAAAACAGGCAAAAAGTGAAAAGAGCGTCTTTTCTGCAGCAGGCTGCCCTGGAAGCCGCCACGCTCCTCCCCAGCGCCCTCAGGTCTCAGGAGCATCTGTGCTGCACCTCCCTTTATCCCACTATCTATTAGCAAGGTGTGTCCTAAGGCGACAGAGAAGCCTAAGACAGGTTACTTTTTGGCCCTGGGAATGCTGGACATACTTTCCATAGAAAATAACAAACCACCTTCGCTTTACGTCTTTTCTGCTTATGGAAGTTTTCATAAAGAATATTCTGATTTCAGAGAACAGGGAAGCCTGTTCCTGTGGCTTACACTTTTTTTTAAATTTTTATTTATTCATGAGAGACACAGACAGAGGGAGAAGCAGGCTCCATGCAAGGAGCTGACGTGGGACTCGATCCCAGGTCTCCAGGATCACACCCTGGGCTGCAGGCAGCGCTAAACCGCTGTGCCACCAGGGCTGCCCTGTGGCTTACACTTTATATAGAATTTTGCAGACCTCTTTTGATCATGAGCCACGGTTTAAAAAAAAAAAGCTTCCCAGTCTCACATATGTACTTACAGATATCTGAAGCAAACTTCACAAAACAATACCTCCCCTTATGTACATTCTGATACTTTCAGTTCTCTTCCTGTTCATACATTTTAAATCTTGCTCACAGTCCATAAAACTGTGGTGCCTGAGGGTGCACAACTGCACTTTTAGAAACCCTGCCCATTGTACTTTCCAGAACTGTTCCATATGCTCTACCTGTGGGGCTCTTACACTGTCCCAGGTGACTGGTGTATGTACCCATTTTACTGTTGAGTTGTCCAAGGTCACAATCAGGTGACCAGTGCCCTTGAGATCCGACTGAAGCTCCATGTAGGACGGAGTCCCCCCTGGACCATAGACTCTACGAACTGACCCACCGACCTCCCCAGGACTCCAGGACACTAAAGAGGCCCATAGGGACCCTGGGGCAGGTAAGAGAAGTCAAAATAGCTCAGAGCTTCTGGCCAACCGGAGCTGGCCTTACTCAGATCCACCTTCTTCCAGGTGATTGGCCCCAGAGGGGCTCCCGACACCCACCCTGGGGCCAGCTTCCTCCAGCAAGCACCGCCCCCAAGGGAGTCCCTCTCAGGGCAGTCCATCCCTGCCTGCTTCTGTGGGTGTGGTTTCTGACAGATGGCCCGGAGCGGGTTTTGTCCCAGGCACCAGGAACTGGTCATTTCTTCTCTGGCACCGAGCTAGAGGGTTCTTGGTGGACTGTCCTACCAGCTTCTCGACATGGCTCTCAAGGAGGGACTCAGGTGAGTTGGGGACACTGCCAGCTTGTGGGGAAATATGGGGCAGGACAGCCGAGCCGGGAGGAGTCCAGCCTGGTGGCCAGGACACCCAAGAGGAGCCGGAAGGCTGGCCTGCTGCGTACCAGCCGAGCCATGCTGATGTCGGGAGAAGGTGACTCTGAAAGGGGACATCACTCAAGGGTTAGAGACGGTCCATGGGGCAGAGCAGGAGCGGGGGACCGCATCCCCCTCACAAGGAGATCTTGTGGATCTTGTCGCAGAGCTGCGTAACTGCTCTTGCTTTCCTTACCTCCAAGCCCCCTTGGGGAGCAAGAGAAGACACAGTGCTGTGTCCTCCACCATAACCAAGGGCTTGCTCTAGTCTCCCTGGGACAGGCCGTCCAGGATTGAAACTTGTTCCCACTCGGGAACTATCTCCAGCCCTGTCTTGAGAGCCAGGAGGCTGGAGGGGGCAGAGCGTGGGGGGGCTTGAGGGCCCAGCTTCCACCGGTGGAGCTGGGGTGGGGGGGGTGCTTCTGAAAATAGCTGAGCAAGGCAGGTGGAAGAGTGGGTCGGGTCAGACAGAGGCCCCTATGGCCTAAGGGTCCCCAAGCTGGGACACGGAGGAGGTGGCAGGAAGCGGGCGAGGGCCTACCATGGGCCCAGATCCGGGCCCCTTCCGAGCCCTCACCGGGGCCACTTGGGACCAGCTCCGCCGGGCTGCCCTGGCTGAGCCCCAGGGCCCAAGATAAACATCAGCTCCCCCCCACCCCCAGATGGGAGGGTGCCGGCTGAGCCCAGAGAAGGCTGAGCCCCCCCACCCCCAGATGGGAGGGTGCCGGCTGAGCCCAGAGAAGGCTGAGCCCAGCCTCCCTGCCCCCGGAGCGGAGCGCAGCCAGGGGCCTTCCTGGACCGGCCCTTTGGGGATAGCGGTGCTGGCGAGGGAGGAGAGCCAGAGCTTCCGGGGGAGGCCTGGTGGGAACGAGAGGTGCCGCGGGGGACAATAACAGGGCTGGAGACCCTCGGGAGAGGAGCCTCGGGGCTGATCTGGGGCCCGGCCATAAGGAGTCCCAAATGCCGTGTTCTGGCTTTGGAATCAATTTTAGTATATGTGCTGCCGAAGCGAGCACTGGCTTTGGAATCAGACCTAAGTTCAAACCGCGGCTCCCCCGTTCAAGCAGCTGTGTGACCCTGAGCAAGTCATTTCACGCTTCTGAGCCTGTTTCCTCCTAAGGTGGAGATAGTCGCGGCATCTCCTTCAGGGGACCGTGGGCAGACCTCACTGAGGTAGGGGTACAAAGCACCCGGCAGGCAGAGGGTCCGCTCCCTAAACTCCGGGATCAGGAGTAGCGTAGACTTAACGCTGAAGCAGCCTTCAGAAGGAGTCAAGGTTTGGGAAAGAAAGACAAGAAAACCATTGAGTGCCTCATTCCTCCGTTTACTGAACAAATAGTCATTAATACACTAACCTCAAGGCAGGCTCTGGGGTTTGGCGCCAAGAACGCGAAGCAGGCCCCGCGGCGCGGTGGGCGGAGGCCAGGGCCTGGCCCGGCAGGTGCGGGAGCGGGTCCGCCCAGGCCCCAGGAGCGCGGGGCGCCAGGCCGGCCTCCCAAGGAGGCTGCGAACCGAAGCAGTAGCTGGAGCTTGACGGTGGTTGGTAGGAAGATCAGGCCAAACATAGGCGGTGGGAGCCCCCGAGTCCCCGCAGGTTTGGGTCCCCCAAAGTCGCGAGACTAAGCCAGGGCAGGTGAGACCCAGGAATCCAGAGCAGCGGTGCGGCAGGCTGGCTCTGCACGGTGGGCACAGGGAGCTGGGGCTCTGGTGGGGAGGCAGAAGCAAGAGGCCTGGGTGACTGAGGAGAGCGGAAGGGGCCCCCCTGGGGTAACTGGGACCAGTCACAGAGAACACAGGACTTCAAGATGTCATTTCCCAAGATGGAGGAGACCTCAGTGGGGAGCAGGTTTCTGAGGAAAATGCAAGAGCTCCTTTTTGGCCATTAAGTTTGGGAGACATCCAAGTGGAGGGCTGAGGCGGCACCAATGCCCCAGGTGTCCTCTGCCACTGTACCCAGGGTGCTCAGAACAGCCCCTGAAGGCTCCGGGCAATGGCTGAGCCCCACCCCGGTTGCAGGAGGGAACTCTGATCCCGGATGTGGTAGATGCTGACTTTGGTCTCCTCCCTGGGCTCCCAGCACAGAACTCCCCAAATCCACGGAATTTCCTGATAGGAATCTTTTGTTATTCATAATGAGCCCTTACCACCGCAGAGTTTGTGCTAAGGAGGTTGCATAAGGTAGCCCCCGCCCACCTGCCCCCACTCAAGTGATTAGAGACTTGGAACGTTTAGCCCCACCCCCTGCCTGGGTTATAAACACTCCTGAACAACAAAGTTTAGCAAGTTTCTGGGTTGGTGAAGGCATCCCAATGTGGGTAGGGGAGCGGGGTGGTGCATTCCAACTCCTTGGGGATAGAAGCTCCTCCTGAGCGCTGGACCCTTCTGGATGGCACTCCAGGGAGGACGTCATCTGGGTGTTAGTAAATAAACCTAGAAACGGAAGTAAAGGGCCTCCCTGAGTTACGGGAGCTGTTCTGTGAGCCAATTATGGAACACGAGGGGGTTGTGGGAACCCTGGAGTCCAAATCAATCAGCCAGAAGTAGGGGTGGCCCAGGATTTGCAGCTGGCATCTGAAGAGGGGGTGGTCTTCCAGGGCTGAGCCCTTTAACTGAGGGACCTGGCACTAACTCCACGTAGACAGTATAGACAGTAGAGAATTGAATTGTTGGACACCCACTTGATGTTGGAGAACTGAACTGGTCGTTGGTGTTGGAAAGCATCCCACAGGGTGACTAGAACAAGAGGGGAAGCTGGACAAGAGATGACTGTGAAGGGAAGCCTGGGTGGCTCAGTAGTTGAGTGCCTGCCTTTGGCTCAAGGTGTGATCCTGGATTCCCAGGTTCAAGTCCCACATCAGGTTCCTTGCATGCAGCCTGCTTCTCTGTCTGCCTGTGTCTCTGCCTCTCTCTCTCTCTCTCATGAATAAATAAATTCTTTAAAAAAAAGAGATGACTGTGAAGAAACAGACATTATTTTCTCCTGTTAGACAATATTAAAGAACAAAATTCAACTGAGTAAATGTGAAGATCGAATGGGACTTACTTAAGGATTCATGATTCGGACAGCATCTCAGCAGATTGAAAGGAGCTCTGAGGAGCTGTACAAAATGGAAGGCTTTTATAGGCAGGAGGGAATATTGGAAAGGAAGCTTCTAGCAAAAAGTGGACTGTTCCAGACAAGGTCACTTTGGAGGAAGGCGAGGGGTCTATTGGGCAGATTACCTCACTAGTGCGGACCAGGGAATTCCAGACCAACTGGTTAAAAGTTAACATTCCTGGGAGAAGTTGGAACTGCAGTTAGGTTAAGTACTAAGTCTTGGTTTGCGGACAGTGTGTGGGGGGGTGGGGCTTACTGTGCGAGACTCCATTCCGGGCCCGTTGTTTCTTTTTTAACAATTTCCTCCTTTAGACCAGACTCTGAGTTTAACTGAGACAAGCATTAGCGCTGCTCCCATCTATCGCTCCATCCAAAGTTCCCCCAGTTTTCACTGATCCTCAGTGTGGCATTCACTGCTCCTGACTTCAGGCTTACAGTTTTTAAGGACATTTCACTTCATTCCCTTCTTGATGTTCCAGCCTCAGGGAGATCATTTTGCTTGGTGGTTAGAGGCTTCAAACATGCATTTAAAGCTTTTCAGAGAAGCCAGTGCCCTAGGATTACTACTGTATTATACGCAGGATGCTCTGTGTATAGAGTGCACTTAGGGGCCATGGTCCCCAAGACCCAAATCAGTCAAAATCAAGTAAGTCAAAGAAAGATCCCACTGGAGGAGTCACCATTTTAAGGTTTAAGCGATCTTCTGTTAACTGAGCTTTCACTGCCCGGGAAGTGTAAATCCAGGTGCAGGCACAGCACCTCCACGTTCAGCTCAAAATTCATCAAGGGCTGTCCTTTTATTAAAACCAACTCTGGGGCAGCCCGGGTGGCTCAGAGGTTTGGCGCCTGCCTTCAGCCTGGGGCATGATCCTGGAGACCCGGGATTGAGTCCCAAGTCGGGCTCCCTGCGGGGAGCCTGCTTCTCCCTCTGCCTGTGTCTCTGCCCCTCTCTCTGTCTCTCATAAATAAATAAATAAATAAATAAATAAATAAATAAATAAATAAATAAATAAATAAATAAATAAAATATTAAAAAAAAAAAACAACTCCGGGATTGAGTCCCAAGTCGGGCTCCCTGCGGGGAGCCTGCTTCTCCTCTGCCTGTGTCTCTGCCCCTCTCTCTGTCTCTCATAAATAAATAAATAAATAAATAAATAAATAAATAAATAAATAAATAAATAAATAAAATATTAAAAAAAAAACAACTCTGGCCAGAGTCTAAGGATTTTCATTGTGCGACTATTGCTCTAGCACTGGATTTGTGCCATACTTCGAAGAGTTAAGAACAGTGTCCTGATCACAGCCTCATTTGTTTTCACTCCTAACCAGGGAGTTAGGGACCTGCCAAAGGAAGCAAATCCTGAATCACAAAAGCCTCCCCAGTAGGTCCTTTCTAACTTGACGTTGTAAATTTAGGGGAGCCTGACAGGGTATCTTGGTTTGTTTGTAAGCAGTTAGGGGCCCAGTTACATAACCCTCTTAGATAAGAGGCATTGCCTGTCTAGGCACTTAACAGGCCCATAGGGAATGAAAACCACCACAAAGACAGACCCTCTGAGCACAAACCACTCCTGCTAAGGTGGCACTGTGAATGGATTCGATCATCACAAGACAGATCAGAGTTTTTGAAGACAAATCCAGAAGTCTGAAAGGTTACCTTCCTTTAGCAGTGGCCCAGGAGATGCGGATGAAAGTGTTCTTTTTCCAGGCCAATGCTAGAATAAAGGAAAGAAAGAAAGGAGAAAGGGTTGTGTCCTTAAAGTAGGAAGTCTCGATCTGGTGCCTTGGGTGGAAGCAGTCTACCTGGATGCCC